TGTGTTACAGCCCTATTCTGTTGCCCTCACAAAAATCACCATACTCACTATTGTGAGGTTTCTGACTATTGTGAGGTTATCCCTATGCTGGCGTAAATTTAAAAGCTCATACGCTCACAATTGTCCGGAAATTTATGATGTACGAATGAGACCCTCACAAGAGAAAAACAGCCGATTTTTATTGAGCAATTGAATAATGTTTTGTTAATTTTCGTTCGCTATCAGTGTCTGTGTTAAGTTTTTTTTTTTTAACTAAAAGTATATTCAGTAATGGCGGAGTTATTGCTTGTTTTTGCGGCAGTTTCGGAAGAGTTAGAGCAGGCATAGGATTTCATTTCGATGCAAACTTTTGCTCCAAGTTGTGGATCGCAAACTGTGTGCAGTACTGGAGCTACTCTTGCTTTATTTCTTTATAAATTCGCCTAGAAAATAAATAAAATCAGTAATTATCAAAAAAATAAACAAATTGCAAATATATTTACTTTTCCTGTTGTTCAGCATCCATCTTTTGTAATTCTTTTATTTACGTAACCGCTGTTAGACAGCAAAATGCTTTTCACCTCGTGTGGTGATTTCGTTGAGCTTTTTTCTTGTGAGGTGTGGGCTAGAATAACCTCACAAGAAATCTCACAAAGTTTTGCTCACAACTCAGTTGTGAGGTTTTATTAGAATAGGGCTGTTAGTTGTAAATAAGGCGAACTAATATTACAACAAACACATCATTTTGACATTAAGAAGTACCGCGGCGAAAATCTAAATTGGCCAGTAACACCTTCGGTTTAAAAACACCCTATCTCACTTCAAAATGTACTGAAAATGTGCTGATATAGGGCGTTTTTGAATTGGCAGCTGAGATAGGGCGTTTTTGAAACGAAGTCTGAGATAGGGTGTTCTTCAACCAAATTGTGAAATACGTTTCTGAAACGTTTTTTAAGATAGGACGTTTTCGAACTGGCTGCCGAAATAGGTCGATCTTCCACTCAGCAGTCGATATATAAATAATGAACTTACTTGTTTCCTCCAATGTAACTTATATATGCAACCTTGTATGTAGTTTACACTTTACCGGCTATTAAAAGTTGATGAATAACTCTATTTGCTTCAAAAGAAATTTATTGTATACCGTTAGAAAGGGCATTAACTGACGATATTGTGTGAAATTAGAACTGCACGATCAATTTTATTTTGTTTATTAGGTACAATACGAATTTCGCCTTTTAAGGTGGGTAGTTTTCGCGTAAGGGCAAATTGAAAACTTTAAACGCGAGTCCTAAAAAATTACTGGGCAAAACGAATTTCTAACTCAACCATTTGCTATGAGAATACATTTATAATACATTTTTTGTATTGTTTTTTCACATTAATTTCAAAATTAAACAATTTGTTTACCCTGTTGATTACAATTTTGATTGATTTTTACATGCGTTTGCCGTTTCTTCTCCTCCTTAAAAGCCTGTGCGTTTGCCTTCCGCTCGATACGTCGTTCCATGCGATATTCCTTCAGTAGCCGTTTGCGTTCCCGTTTTTCTTCCGGCGCTTCATCTTTAGGTCTGATAGATAGTACACTTAAAGTAGATATAAGAGACTTATTGCATAGCGATTTCGGGCCATTCGAAATCATGCCTTTATCAAGTTTTGATAGCGCTTTCTCAGTAAGTTGATTATTATCACCATTTCTTAAAACATTTGTAGGCAATCCAGTTTTTGGATCAATTTCTATTTTATTTACTCCCTCATTTGAATCAGCCTTACTGCTGCGACGACTTCTACGTGTTGGCTCTTCGATGAGTTTAGGATGATTGTATATATTGGAATAAGTGGAAAGCACGGATTCACAATCCCATTTTTTCTGCTTATCGTCATTCATTTCCATTTCCACTAGCTCGTCATTTGGGTCTTCTTCCCCCTCCGCAATATTGCGATATCTTTCGACACGTTCGCGATCCCACTCTTTATTGTATGCCTCGACTTTTTTGCCTCGTTTGTGTTCCCTGTAACAAGCCATTAGTACGCGGTGTTTCTGATCCCAGTCACCTTCAATTTCTTCACACGCTAAATCACCCAATTCTGGATCATCGTAAGTTGCATAGAAATGTTCAAAACGGTCATCTAACAGTGTCAACTGTTCATTGCGTCTTATAACGCTTGAGGACATAGAGTACTCAGTGAAGCGGGACTTTGTTTCTTCGTCATCGAAACGACGTTCACGCAACAATGGTCCCAGGCGATCCATTAATTCCTGATCATCAGTTTCGTTTAGATCGTCTGAATCAAAGTCTTCTTGGTCATCTTCTTCAACATCAGATAATTCATCTTCATCATAATCCTCATCCTCGTCATCACCTTCAGCCATTGCCTTCAGCACGAAGTCGTCTTCAAGCAAGTTATCTTCATTATCAAAATCAAAATCTTCATCCAACGCCGCAACTACATCGGGATCCCAGTCAGGTCGTGGTCCGGTAACTACTGCAGCCCTGTTTAGCATTCCTTCATCCTCTTCAAATTCAGAGGCAAATACCGAGCTTGGCAGCGCTAATTTGGGTGCAGTGGTAACGCGACCTTCCTCAATTCTTTTCCGCGCGTGATTTGGGTTTTCTACATATTCCCAAACAACTTCCTGCTCTGGCTTCTTCATATGTTGTAGATAGTCGTAGTCGTCGTCAAAGAATATACCAAATTTCTGTTGCTCCTCTTGACGTTTAGCAGGATCAACTGGGTCGGTAGATGTTTTTGTATGCTTTTGAGATACCGCCTCCACTAGTACACGTTGGGGCGCAGTATCGTCGACCACCAACGGATCATGTTGACTTCTGTGAACCAAATGAAACGTCAAGGCATTTTTGCGATCGATGAAAGCTTTTTTACTCTTGCCCTGAAATATATTGAAAGTAATATAAAATATTAAGAAGCCAATTTGCAGTCCTTACCATTTTTTCCTGTTTCTATCAAATAAATGCAACAAATTTCAAGAAAATAATTTCTAGCTTTATTACGAATCGGCAGGAACAACGTGTGAGTAAAAACCTGGAACAGAGATGCAAACGTTGCATCGGTGTTTTTAATGATATCGGTTTGAAAATCGATCAAACTCGCTTATACCATGTTCGGACCGACAACGAAAACACCCTACAAGAATTGTGTGATGGAAATTAACACATTGGCGCATATTCATAGTCATATTTAGTACTCAACTTAGTCGAAACTATTCTAAGTCACAACTAAAGCTATTCATAGTCGCCTTAGTTTCGACTTTTCTGGCTAAGTACCAACTTAAAATTTAGTTTCGGCTGCAGTTGCAACTAAGTCATAACTAGGAAGAAGTATTTTATCAAATTAAGGGAAAACAGACGAAATATGTAAAAATTAAGTTAGTAGAGGGTGATTTTGATAATATTGAATAATCTCCAATTAAAATTTACAAAGATCGATCCATTTTAATCGGAAGATGAAATTAAATGGGTATTACAATTCTAATAAAGCTAAATCACAAATTTATAACTGGAATAATTTAGATACATTTTCAAATAATAAGTCAGTTTCACGCTAGTTCTTTTAAAGTAAATTTGTGCATAACATTTAGATATCTACTATTTGTATGTTTCATTGCATGCTTTCGATAAACATCGACTTCGCATCACTGCGGTTGTTCTGGCTATTTCACACAATTAACAAGAAAAGATACCTTATTCTTTTGCATAATCATGCAATGAAAATGAAAATTACATAAACGGATGATTAAACTTGACATTATTTAATAAAAATGTATTTTTTCCAAAATATCGTAAAGAAAAATCGACACATTTTCACACTCTTTGTGCTATATCGTAAACTAAGTCGAAACTACTTAGGGCCTGTGCCAAATGATAGAAAAGAGAAAATTTTGACGGATCAAAGTAAAAATCTGTCATTTCTCGTGGTGAATAAGAACGTCAGAATTTTACCTAGCTCATGGGGCTAGGTAAAATTTTGTCAGCTTATAACCATGTATACACATAATATTGCTTGGCGGTAATAAGGAGTGAACATGAAAATGGAAGCTGAAACAGCATAAAAAAAAGCGTACGTTACTTGCAAATTATAAAATAAATATAAATTTTAAGAATTTCAGCAACACACACGAGCACGAGCGTTTGTTTGGTTTTTCAACTGTCAAAATTTAACTCTGCATTTGGCACAGCAAAATTCAATTTATTTGTACACCATAGCAAATTTTTCCACCCCGTCTCACCACGGAGAAAAAAGTTACCGATTGGCACAGGCCCTTAGTAGAAGTCTGAAATGCGACTATGAATAGAGGTAAATTTTAAGTTGATACTTAAATTTAAGTTGCAACTTTGTTAGTTTCGACTTAGTTGCTGGACTATGAATACGCGGAATAGTGCGGAGCCGCTCCTTGCTAGTTCGTCCGCTGCCTCGTTTCCGTAGATGCCCCTATATCCATATTAGGGTAATTTCTTATTGATCAGAAATATAGGCCAGCTCTCTCCTACATTCATCCACTAGCTGAGATCTAACAGAGTTAGAGGAAAGTGCCTGAATAGCCGCTTGGCTATCCGAGAGGATGTTCACTTGCGTTCTCGCGTTGTCTTTGATGTACCTTACTGCCTCCTTAATAACAAACGTTTCGGCCTGGAAAACGCTTGCATAGTCTGGTAGGCGGAAGGATCATTTTAGGTTATATTGCTCAATGAAGATCCAGCACCAACCCCGCATTCCATCTTTGACCCATCCGTAAAGACAGTTAAGCCCTGCAAGTACCCGATATCTTCCTGGTTCCAGTCACTGCGGCTTGGGAATTTCGTGCGGGGTTTATGGTGAACCCAGGTCTTCGACAGAATATAGTCAATGGGCAGCGCTTTAATTTCAGACGGTATTGCATCTAGAATGGAACCGTGCCCGAGCGGTCTTTCCTTCCTGAGCCCAAGGGCACACAGTCTGATGGCGCTGTTGGCAGCTGAATTCTCTATGAAGATATCTATAGATAATAAGTAAAGAAGGACGTTCAAAACGTCCTTCGGACAGGATCTCATTGCGCCTGTTACGCTAGCGGCTGCTGACCTTTGAATTCCGCCTAGCTTTTTAACTACGTAATCCTTAGTAAGGCTGGACCAGACCAGCGCCCCATAAAAGATTATGGGTCGGACTATAGCTGTGTACATCCAGTGCACAACTCTTGGTTTCAAACCCCATCTGTTGCCCAACATTCTCTTGGCTGCATAGAGAGCCACCGTGGCCTTCCTAGCACGCTCCTCAATGTTTGGTTTCCACTTAAGTTTGGGATCCAAAATAACTCCAAGGTATTTCACCTTCTTTGACAGATCCAGTTCCGTTCCTCAGAACCTTGGTTTATTAAAATTTGGTAATTTTGTTTTATTTTTGAAAAGCATAAGGTCAGTTTTCTCCGGGTTTACGCTAAGAGCACAGCTCACGGCCCAGGAATCTACTATCTTTAAAGTCCTTTCCATAATTTCACTTATGACCGAAGGAAACTGACCCGATACCAGTATCGCTACATCATCGCCGTAAGCCACCGCTTTGATTCTCTGAGAATCCAGCTTTACCAGTAGTTTGTTTAAGACCATGAGCCATAGTAACGGTGATAGCACTCCTCTCTGCTCCTTAGCAGAGACACAATTCAAGCCCGGACACAGTGATCAATCCCAGTTTTTTTTTGAATGGCTAATCTCCTTTTCTAATTACAGATTAGGGAGTTAATCTCGAAAATGAGGATAATCTACTTATATGTAAACCTAGTATTAGACTTGACCAGTGAAAGCTTTCATTTTGTGCCTGGCCTATATAAATTGTACTGGGAGCTTTTGAAGGCTTTGGCACAGGGCCGGATCGTGAGCTCGGTTTTGGGGGGCCGGTATAAAAATCAAAAATTTTGTACGCCCAAGTATGATAGACATTTTGGCTGCGTTTCTTTATTCATTCCAGATAATCCCATTTCACAACCAGAATAGACAGAATGCGTTTGAAATATACGTTAACAATTCATCAGGAACGTTCTAAAGAATAAGTAAACTAAAAAGTTTATTCCAAACGTTCAGAATGAATAAAGAAATGCAGCCTTTATTTTATTATATTATATATTGTTTATAAATGAATTATATTTTTACAAATCATATGTTTTGAGTCATATGTTTTTGAGAAAAATACACCGTAGTAATTTTAAAATTTCAAAATTACATTTCTCGACTGAAAAATAAGATATTCGAGCTAGCTCAACGGCACACATTGTGCTTTTTTAACACTTCATGCCAATCAATCGTAGCGCTTTCGACAGAAGCAATATTTTCATATGAAGCAAAATGGCTTTGAAACCTAATTTGATTCCTTTTAAGGAGAAATATTGCCATTGAGCCACACTCACTCCTTGACCTTAAAAAAATTGGTCAAAAATAGTGTTATTTGAAAAAAAACTACACTAAGGGGAAAAAAAATTAAAATCAAATAGAAACGTAGTTGATCTTACTATAAACGTTAACGAAAGTACTGTATATTGGTAAATATTCAATTCAATTACGCGCATATTAAAATGACCGCGTTCGTACTGAAAAAGCATCCGTGAAGTGAATAATCAAGACAAAAATTAAAAAAAAAAATTTAAATTGCATGTTGCCTGCAGTGGAATTCGAACCCGACCATCTCCGGATATCAACAACTTTTGCCAAGCATCTTTGCGCACTCAGCTACACCCAGCCATATAAATTTGCTTTCAAATGTTGAATATCCATCAACACCACAGCACGCGTTTTGTACGGATAAACATATATGTATGTACTATGTATGTATGTGTGTGTTGTCACCGCTCACAGAGCGGCTCTCTGCATGCTTGGGGTGTGTATGTACACTTACATATACTACATACTCAGATGTGAACAGTCAAATATGTGCGTAATAAATTTTGTATGAAAATATTATTTTTAAATACGAACATTTTTAAACGATAATCAAATATAAAGTATTCATTTTTACTATGCATTATTTCCCTCAGTGTATACTAATTTTATAGATTTTGCGGCGAGAAACACGATTTCACTGTTTAAAAAGGGAAACAAATTTCAACCCCTCAATTTGAAAAATGCATTATATATTAAATTTTTTTATTTGCATACAGCTGTGCATCTTCACACAATTTTTATCCCTAGAACGACCTGACTTGTTGTGTTTTAGCGCTATTCAAGACCTTTAATTTAAGCCAAGGTAGAAATCTCTAGGCCCTTTGAGAGCTAAATTATTACGATTCTAAAGTTAAACTTCGAAATTTCATTTGACATTTTATGCAATTTTTTTCTAATTTCGGAGTAAAAACTAGTACAGCACTTTCGAAGTTTGCTTAATTGTTATAAATTGGCTCTCAGAGGGCCTTGGCTCTAATTAAAGGTCTTGAATTGCACTTATTGTTCGAGTGATATAAAATGAGTGAAGGATGCACAGCTGCATGCAAATAGAAAAAAATTCAATAAATAATGCATTTTTTAAATTAAGGAGTTAAAATTTTTCTTCGAATTTTGAACAGTGGAATCGTGTTGCTCGTCTCAAAATATATAATACTAGTATAATAAAAAATATATAATTTTTTTTGTTTTAGAATAAATGCCGTGTATTTTGCATGTTTTTTTTTTCGAAGAACACTACTTTTGACCAATTTTTTTTTAAGGTCAAGGGGTAATTGTGGCTCAGTTGCCACAATTGAAAGGGACTTCCTTTAGCTTTCAAAACCATTTTGTTTCGTATCAAAATGCTGCTTCTGTCGAAAGCGCTCCGATTAATTCGCATGCAGTGTTCAAAAAGCACACTGTGCGGCTTGTCAAAGGACAAGAGATGTATTCTAAAATGCTGTGCATATTTTTCAGATATGAGTTCAGCGACAAAATCTATAAGAAATGGCCAATTTCATATCAGAAAGATATTTCAATTAGTACGAAATTGTTCCAGAAGTAGAATCACAATACCAAGAGTGTAATTGAAATTCTTAACCAAACTCGGATTTCTCGACCGACTCGGATTTGGGAGGGGAAATTTCCCCTATT